ATAGGGAATGCCGCGTGTCATTGATATCATTTACTAACTCGTGATTGCATCTTGTGCACTGCCAATAATTTATAATGTATATCTTTAACCATGCCATGATTCCAGACGACTCTCTGATATCCTCTATCTATATCTCCCTTGCATTTCTCCCCTTATATTATTTATGTTTTCGCAATGTATTACGTTTTCCTTTTCTCGTCACCAACTGAAAAAATGTTAATTATTTATTTGTCATTTGTATAAATAGTTCTTTTTTTTAAATGTTGATTTTCAATTTGTTTTAATTCTTTTAGTTTAAATTATATGCCTTTTTTCAGGCTGAGAGAGAAAAACATTTAAGTGAAAATGTCTACCCCCTTTACTTGGGCTACTTCAGAAAATTTCTCCTGGAAAATGGCACAGGATTTGCCGTTGGTGACCAAGTAAGATTGGCTATATCATTAACGTGTTTCAATTACAAATCCTTTTTATGTGATTATTTATATTAGTGATTATGTGTTAGCCAGGTAGTCTGCATGTCTGTAACCATCATACTCTGTGCATAGTACATAACTTGACTCATTTGTTTACTGGAATGACTTCCTTTTCTGTAGGTTTCTATAGCAATTTTGTTTTACCTTGTTGATGGAGCTGGCCCCACGTCCAGACCTCCTTCTTACACATCCGGGGTTGGGACCGACATTGGCTACTCTTTTCGATTTCCAACTGCCAAGGGATTTATTTTTGTTTTACGTCCGCAACATTACACACGGGCGTACGATCTTACTACACGGAGACCAGGGGAAAATAACAGAAGTCTACGTAAAAAAAATCTCAGCCTCACCGGAGCCTGAACCCGGGACCTCGATCCCTCGAGGCGGACGCCATACCTCGAGACCACTCAGCCTCTTGTCAGATTCCTGTCAGCATTTTGTCGTATCAGAGAAGGATGTCAGCAGATGAACTGATAAACGCAGTTGCGAATCGCGGAGTGTGGAGAAGCATGATCGCTCATGCCAGTCGACAAGGCATTGGATGATGCTGATAATAATCGTAGCGTAGCTGTAAGCTAAAACGCAAGTTGCCAACTGTTCTTTTTTATGGCGAATACTGTAAGGTAAAACGCAAGTTGCCAACTGTTCTTTTTTATGGCGAATACTGTAAGCTAAAACGCAAGTTGCCAACTGTTCTTTTTTATGACGAATACTGTAAGGTAAAACGCAAGTTGTCAACTGTTCTTTTTTATGGCGAATACTGTAAGCTAAAACGCAAGTTGCCAACTGTTCTTTTTTATGGCGAATACTGTAAGCTAAAACGCAAGTTGCCAGCTGTTCTTTTTTATGGCGAATACTGTAAGCTAAAACGCAAGTTGCCAACTGTTCTTTTTTATGGCGAATACTGTAAGCTAAAACGCAAGTTGCCAACTGTTCTATTTTATGGCGAATACTGTCAGCTAAAACGCAAGTTGCCAACTGTTCTTTTTTATGGCGAATACTGTAAGCTAAAACGCAAGTTGCCAACTGTTCTATTTTATGGCGAATACTGTCAGCTAAAACGCAAGTTGCCAACTGTTCTTTTTTATGGCGAATACTGTAAGCTAAAACGCAAGTTGCCAACTGTTCTTTTTTATGACGAATACTGTAAGGTAAAACGCAAGTTGTCAACTGTTCTTTTTTATGGCGAATACTGTAAGCTAAAACGCAAGTTGCCAACTGTTCTTTTTTATGGCGAATACTGTAAGCTAAAACGCAAGTTGCCAACTGTTCTTTTTTATGGCGAATACTGTAAGCTAAAACGCAAGTTGCCAACTGTTCTATTTTATGGCGAATACTGTCAGCTAAAACGCAAGTTGCCAACTGTTCTTTTTTATGGCGAATACTGTAAGCTAAAACGCAAGTTGCCAACTGTTCTTTTTTATGACGAATACTGTAAGCTAAAACGCAAGTTGCCAACTGTTCTTTTTTATGGCGAATACTGTAAGCTAAAACGCAAGTTGCCAACTGTTCTATTTTATGGCGAATACTGTCAGCTAAAACGCAAGTTGCCAACTGTTCTTTTTTATGGCGAATACTGTAAGCTAAAACGCAAGTTGCCAACTGTTCTTTTTTATGACGAATACTGTAAGGTAAAACGCAAGTTGCCAACTGTTCTTTTTTATGGCGAATACTGTAAGGTAAAACGCAAGTTGCCAACTGTTCTTTTTTATGGCGAATACTGTAAGCTAAAACGCAAGTTGCCAACTGTTCTATTTTATGGCGAATACTGTCAGCTAAAACGCAAGTTGCCAACTGTTCTTTTTTATGGCGAATACTGTAAGCTAAAACGCAAGTTGCCAACTGTTCTTTTTTATGACGAATACTGTAAGGTAAAACGCAAGTTGCCAACTGTTCTTTTTTATGACGAATACTGTAAGGTAAAACGCAAGTTGCCAACTGTTCTTTTTTATGGCGAATACTGTAAGGTAAAACGCAAGTTGTCAACTGTTCTTTTTTATGGCGAATACTGTAAGCTAAAACGCAAGTTGCCAACTGTTCTTTTTTATGGCGAATACTGTAAGCTAAAACGCAAGTTGCCAACTGTTCTTTTTTATGGCGAATACTGTAAGCTAAAACGCAAGTTGCCAACTGTTCTTTTTTAAGGCGAATACTGTCAGCTAAAACGCAAGTTGCCAACTGTTCTTTTTTACGGCGAATACTGTAAGCTAAAACGCAAGTTGCCAACTGTTCTTTTTTATGGCGAATACTGTAAGCTAAAACGCAAGTTGCCAACTGTTCTTTTTTATGGCGAATACCGAAGAAAAGTAAGTTATACTACTTTCTGAAGGAAGATATCTCACAGTGATAAAGAACAGATTGGGACAGTTCAAAACGGATTTTTCTAAAATGAAGAACATTTTTTGCAATAAATCCATGTCATTGGAGGTTAGGAAAACAATTCTCGCATGCTATACAGAGCCAGTTTTAACATATGGCTGTGAATCCTGGACAATTAATAAATAAGCTGAACAATATCTGTAGGCCTGGGAGATGTGGATTTATAAAACAATCCTTTGAATTCCTTGGAAGAGTAACCCAGATATTTTGAAAAAGGCGAATGCTCGAAAACAAATTATCACAAAGATGAGAAAGAGACAGTCATTATTTGTGGTCATGTTATAAGAGTAGGAAAACTGGATCATGTGTTGACCACTTGAAAGATCTCTGGAAAGAGAGTCAGAGGAAGACAGCGCGAGAAGATTTTTGTCTGCCTTTTATCAAGGCATGGAGGATTTCAGCACATGAATTGATAAACTGATCGCAGATTTTGGATAAGTGTGATCGTCGACGCCAGTCGGCAAGGCATTTGATGAAGCTGATGTTGATCGTTACGTAGCTGTCAGCTAAAACGCAATGTGCTAACAGCTCTTTCTATGGCGAATACCAAAGAAAAAGAAGTTATGCTACCTTTCTTATATGCTGAGTCACGAAGAGAACTGATTTCCCACATTCTTTGGCCATGTCACGAGAAGGAGAAAATTGAGGTGCATCGTGACAATGGGAAAACTGAAGGGGAAAGAGGCAGAGGGAGGCGGACATAAACGATTCTTGACAGTCGGCCATCATGGCATGGAAGATTATATATGCCAGACGTGACTGAAAGTTCACGAGCCAGAAGGCTGGGATAGACACGACTACCAAATCCACATGCCACTATTTGAGAGTACTTTTTTGAATAACACATTTAACAACTGTTTCTAGTGTTTATCTTACTTGCTATCAAGCAACCAGCTATAAATAACTTTACCTTTTGTTATTCCTTGCTGCAGCTGAGCTTGGCAGATCTTGTCCTATATGAAGCAACATCATCGCTGGTCAGGCGAAATGCTGAACTGCTGCAGAAATATCCTGAGATTCTAGCTCACCGAGAGAAGGTTGAGGAGCTGCCGAGAATCAGGGAATTCCTTGCGACAAGCGGGGAAACAGCACGGGTTTGATTTCGGGCAGACAGTTTCTCAGCTTTGTCTTACTGTATTGAATAAATATCTGAACCACAGGTGAAAATTGCATTTATTTTGATGTCACTGTTGTCTTTCTTAAGTCACTGAAGTGGCGAGCTATATGGAATTTTTTACGTTTTTCGCCCCACACCAACTGCGATTGACCTTTCATTCAAGCTTCTATGTTACAGGGGTGACAGGTTGTGTTGTCTTCGCAAAGCTTTTTATATTGCGCGCCCCAGCTACACGCTATGGTTTAAGTTAATCGTTGTTGTGAGCGACCGGCGACATTCACAACAAAATGTCAACACTTCTGAAACCACAAGACGTTGGCAGCTCTCTATCTCTCTCTCGTGGAACGTAGCTGCCTATCTCTCTCTCTCTCTCTCTCTCTCTCTCTCTCTCTCTCTCTCTCTCGTGGGACGTAGGCTGCTGCCTCTCTCTCTCTTTCTCTCTTTCTCTCTCTCTCTCTCTCTCTCTCTCGTGGGACGTAGGCTGAGGCTGTGTGGTGGTGGTTGGGGGGGGGGGGGTTGTTTAGGGCAAGTTCTAGATGTTCTGGGGTAAAAAAAAGTGGTCACCTGTAATATAGAACATGCGGCATCGCAGGTGAGAGCATCGAAGAAAACACAACGTGATACCCCTGTAACATAAACTACCCCGTGTAAAAGGTCATAAAGCATGAATAAAGGGCCAATTATGTTTTGTTTGGGGTGAAAAACGTACGAAGTCCCGTTTATATTGTAATGAGCTTGCAGCTGGAACTTTTTAATGCGCTTTCCTATTGTTTTTTTTTTTTTTATTTTTTTTTAATTTTTTTTTATTTTTAGTCTTTTTCTTCTTTTGCTTCTTCTTCGTCGTCGTCGTTGTCTTCTTCTTCTTCTTCTTCTTCATCTTCTTCTTCTTCTTCTTCTTCTTCTTCTTCTTCTTCTTCTTCTTCTTCTTCTTCTTCTTCTTCTTCTTCTTCATCATCATCTTCTTCTTCTTCTTCTTCTTCTTCTTTCGTTCGCTTGAAGTAGATTGTTCTCTATCTGTAGTTTTGTCTGTAATATGAACATCACTGTCTTTTGTAATTCACTCAGTAAAGTAAAAAAAAGTAAAAAAAAGTAAAGTAAAAAACCTGTAAAGTTTGGCTTCGATGGGTATTTTTTCTTAGCCAGAAGCCAGAAGTTTTACTTTGATATGTTGTATTTGGGACAGTCTTCGAGGGCGTGTTCTGTTGTCTTAGTTGTGAATCCGCATGTGGACGTGGCTGATTCGGCAATCTCAACTGTGTGTACTGCGAATCCGATTGTGACCTGTAATTTATTATTAGTGTTTCGTAAGGTTAAATATCGTGTATGTTTATAAACAGGTGTGAAAGTATGTGGTCACGTCATTTGCCTCGCCCTCTGACTGGAGTAAGGGGTCTTTTACGTTACTTACATATGGACTTAGAGGAGCGGTTGGCCGAGTAGCTACAACACCGGACTCTAATGCGGGAGACCTGGGTTCGACCCTCGGTAAGATGACGGAGTTTTTCTATCAGTGCGGGGGGAGAGGGGAGGAAGCAAAATTACAAATTATAACCTGCAGACAGTGGCGACAGCACTAGCCATACGGCCCTAGATCCCTAGGCTCACGACCCCCTGCCTACCCCGCCCTAAAAAAAACTAGTAAAACAGACAGTAGTGACAGGGTTTACGCATGGACTGGAGAAGATCAAATTGAGGGTGGTAGTGTTACAGTCAAGGATTTTAGTCATTCCATACCCAGCGGACTCCAACCCAATGCTGAGAGGGAGGTGGGGGGGGGGCGATTGCTGATCATGTCCATTGAATTTTAAGAATTTTCGAGACGAGACTATGTTGCTGTTGTTTATGGTATCCCTCTTTCCCTCAATTCCATATGTGGCTCATCGAGGTACCACGATGGTTATTGCGCCTTTTTGCGTTTTTCACCTACGTAATTTTTTCAGCAGTTTGCATAGAATACAGTAATAGCCTGCCCATTCTTTACATATCTGGTCAGGGTGTATTTAGCCGTCCAGTTCGTCATTTGCCTTCATGCCTATACTAGGAAAAAAAAAAGGTTTTAAATAGAGTCATGGTTAGTAACATAGACAATTCAATTAGTTTTCCAACGTTTTATTGTGCCAGCATTGTAGCATCCCTTTGGATGTATTCCTCTTTTATGTACAGATGATTTCTGTGACCCAAAACTAATTTCGTTCAAGTAAGTAAGTTGTGCTGTATTTAATTAAACTTTCCTAATTCTTATATAGGTTAATTAAACTTCGAAACTAAAAATTGGATGTGTAGCTTCTGCATTTTCTTCTTTTGCTAAAGTTACCTCATCGCAGTTGATTTTCATTTCATTAGGACTGCTCTTGAGGACGTCGATAAAACTTTTGCTGGCACGTCTCGATGCCCTGTGTTCACTGTATTTCTTCAGCATTCCTCTCTGTGACATTTTGTGTCAGGGCGTTACCGTCAGAAGGTCAAACCACCTAATATGTTGCTGGATTTGTAGCTATGACCATGAAAGCAATCTTCGGCCCATTTACAGATCATGTATTTCTTGTTTAAAATCACGAATCGTCTGTCACTGAATTCATGGGAGAAAAATTTTACAAAAGACTATCAAAAAAATTTAACTCAAAAAGGAAAAACGCACCTAGACAACAGTGAGCATTTAGATCAAAAATCTATCAAAAAGAATACTTTACTGTAGCACTTAAAAGCTCTATCCAACAAAGTATTCCTTTGTGTAGAGGTTGAATAATTTCACAATCCTTGAGTGCTAGGCTTCGATTTCCGCGGCGGACGGTTCATTAAAACAACAATCACTCTAGTGGTTTTCGGGTAGCCGTGCCAGTGTCACGGCGCCGAAGAGACTGTTGCTGTCATGCTGCTTGCAAGAAAGGACTAGAAAGCTCAATGGATGGAAAAGACGCACTCAAACACAACTTCTAGGTTTCATGTTGACCTTGATTTTGTATTTAGTACTCGGTTGAAAAAAAAAATTTGAAAATGTCACAAACTTTGAATATCTAGACTCTGTAATAATCAGCAATGGAGACAGTTTGACAGAAATTAACAGGAGGGTGGCCATAGCAATGCAAAGATTGAACAGCCTTAAAATTCTATGGTTAAGCACCAGCAATGAGATCAAAATTAGAATTTTGAGAGCATGCATCTTCCCTGTGGCTACATACGGATGTGAGTCGTCGACTATCTTTCAGTCCTTAAGAAAGAGAATAGGGGCTTTTGAGCTGATATGCTAGAGAAAGATTCTCAGAATATCTTGGACAAAGAAGATGAGAAATATTGACATCTTGAAAGATCTGAACATCAATGAAGATTGGCTAATAAACAGCATCCTGTCTCTGAAGCTGAAATATTTTGGTCATATCAAGCGCCACGACGGATTGGAAACATTTTTAGCAGAAGGCATGGTACCAGGAAGGATGGAAGGGGCCGACTGACACGAAGATGGGCACATGATATAAGCGACTCCTTGAGTATGAAAGTTTATGAAGCGGGAGAACTGGCGAGAGACCGAGTTTCTTTCAGGCAGACTGTGAAGAGAACGACGTTCCGCAAAGGATCTTGTACATGATGAATATACTCGGTTGATAAAGACTCTGGTCTAAAAGTTCGGCTGTGTTTGTGTGCGTCTTTTCAATTCCCCCAGGTGAACTTTCTAGTCACATTTTGTGTTAAATTTAGCATTAGTAACAAGAAAAGTTTGATTTCAGTTAGCCCATTTTTAGCAATCCTAATAAAGTTTATACAGTAAGCAATTGGGGTTTATCAAAGTGTTAGACCATGCGGCTCATACTTAAATGTTTTTTATGACACCCATAGTAAATATGTCTTATATACTTCGATCATTCAGTTTGTTATAAAGGTTTACCATACCACTCTGATATTTTAAAATCTAAATCTCAAAGGCAAACCAATAAGGCAGATCCCAGATACCCCCTTCAACCACCATATAAGTTATAATTAAGGCGCCGTAACTCTTACACCAGCCAAGAGTAACCTGCTCCCTTATGGTGATAAGGACGTGCCTTATATACTTGATCAGATGACAGTAGGATGTTGCTCAAGATAGAGCATATATTATTGACACCACATCACAAACTGCAGAGAATAGCTTTGAGGTTAAACTGAAGCACACGTTCAGAAAGTACTATAGCCCGTTCAGAGGTTCATGGAAATGAATAGATTTTAATATTTAGGAAACTAACGGGCCGATAGTAATGACATTTGGTGTGCTCACTGTTAAAGTTTAGGAAGGTTTACTTCGTTTCATTATTTTCAGGAAGTAATATAAGTGAGCACACCATAACGGGTTCAACAGAGGGTCAAAGAACAGATATGTACTTTCGCGATTATTTTTGTACAAAGCCATTGTTAACGAAAGGGACCCAAATTAAGACGTTGTTCTTGTTCTTCTTCTTCGCGTTCATTAGCTGTAAACTCTGGTGGAAAGATCTGGTTGTTCGTCCACTTCTGGACTGCAGTAATGTTCCAGAACTTGAGTGTTGCGTGTGCATCCGTTTGAGAGATCAAAATGATTTGTTCGCAGACTGTTGGTTTCTTGCCTTTCAGGCAGATGCACTACGACTTTGAAGGAAGCTGCCAATTAGTCTACTCTTACGACATGCTTGTGGTTAGGCAGTGGGTTTATTCTTGTATTCCCTATAACAGGGCCCCGGAACGCACACAGGAAGGATGTCGTTCAAGATTGTTTGAAGGCGAATAAACAAATTGGTGTTTAATTATTGTGTCATATAGCTGGCTTATCGAAGCTGACTTATAGACATCAATCTCATAATGTGTTTGATATGCAAATGTATAACTAAGAAAGTTACTATTTTACTGTACCGGGAATTTCGGCTGAATCTAAGATGAGTCATGTGTATTGTCATATTCATGATCTACGAACAGAATTGGCGCTTGGTCTGGACCGAGCCTATTTATTCTAAAGATGCGCTTCTGAAAAAAAAAAAAAAAAATTTGAACTTGAACTTGAAATTACCATGTTTACTGTAAAACCTAAAATGTCGTTTCACTTATTTTCAGTGGTTCGAAAATATCAAATGAATTAGCTGATTAGCAAATTTCTGAGCCTCTATGGACTGAAGCATAGCACAACATTTAAAGGATGCGTGCAAAAAATCATTGCCATCTAACAGGCAGTTTTAGAGAAATTAGATGACAAACGTGTTTATAAGGGAGGACCAATGGTTGGAAAGGAACACTCTGGATAGTGTTAGGAGATGGTAAGAGCGAAGAGGAGGGGCCGATTACTGCCAAATTAATATCCTTACGTCCATTTTAGGACGTAATTTTTTTGTTATTTGAAGCCCCACTCTGGCTTCTGCCAGGGGCCGCAATATAGGCAGGCCATAAAAATGGCCAATTGTCTGAACGCGGTTTCTGGGACCTCTCCGCGGTGATCCTCATCCACGTGGTGGCACTTTGTGTCATCGGGTGTTTATCGCTTGTGTGATGTTCTAGTGGGGTAGAAGGTCAGTCAAGAGGAGGGATGTGTTATAGCCAAAACCAAGATTAGATCTGTCGAATAGTGGCCCTCCTGTGGTTAGGACATTCATCATGAGGATATAACTAAGGCAGTAACATCTTGGCTCCTATCGCTTATAGGCATTAGTTAGGCCAAAGCAGTTATACTGTCTGACTTGCCGACAGCCATATGGAAGATAAAGAATGAATAGTTTTTAATGTTGTAATTGTAACAGGTGCATTGGCAGCAGCTGCTACACTGGATGCATTTTTAGTAGTACCAGTAGTAGTGATGTTAGTAATAGTAGATGTAGTTGTAGTTGTAAGTGTTGTTGTTGCAAAGGCAGCAATTGCAGTAGCTCTTTCTCTGCCATCCATATTTTCTAAACTCGGATTCCAATGCTTAGCATTTCAATGCAGCATGGTTTTTATTTTTCCCGTCTATTTCCTAACAGAATTTGTGTGAACGTTTTGGTACAAAGAAAAAAAAACCTCTCGGATTTCGATTTTGTTAGCAGAACCTATATGACGCATAAGTAAAAAGTGAAGGATACTTTTCCACGCCTTTAGGCGTGTAGGGCATATAGGACTAGACCTATATTTTATAGAACAATCGGCACAAGATGGGTGATGTGGTTAGCATCACGCCGGTTGCTTTACTTTCCGGGACTGCACCTGGTACCCACTCAAGGTCATTTTGAAAAAAAGTCCGGCTCCGCCAGGGAGCGAACCCACGACCTTCTGATCCTCAAGCCCTCAGGCAAGCATCTAGGTGCTTTGCCACGGCGATATGACGCATATTGTCTACACATGGGGGTTTGTTTGTTTGTTGCTTGTCTGTAAGCAGTGGAGCATTTGATCCTTTGATACCCAGATAGTCGCGGGAACTACGCAGTTTGTGCTTCACGTTATGTTTTCAGCAGGCAGCCAGTCAGCTGCTTTGCGTAGATACACTAAGTGAAAAAGGGTAAAGTCGATCCTCTCATTTTAAAACATTTTAAACGCATGCAATTAATTATAGATCGCTATACGCCGAGTAAGTCTCGTCACAATCTCATTTACAATCTCTGCTCATTTTAAATCTATTCGCGTGAGCTCATCAAACCGTTGATGACAATTGTAATCAATTTTATTTGCAAGCAGAAACAACATTTTATCGTCAGTAAAGCTAAATGATTTAACATTTTACAGTACTTCAAAAAGTCCTTCGTTTTCATGAGACATTGCACTTGTTACATACAGCCATATTACCAACGGGAGTTACTGTATCGAAGGGATTAGACGCTTGCCTGCGGATCGGAATGACGTGAGTTCGTGTCTGGACAGAGCCGGATTATTTTTTCAAAAATTTCTTTAGCTCCCAGGTCAACACCGCCTTGAGTGGGTACCAGGTTCAGTCACAGAAAGTTAATGTGGCCGGTGTTATGCTGACCATATCACTCACTAAGTGCTGATTGGTTTATAAAATATTCTTCTAGCCCTATATGCCCAATACGCCTGAGGGTGTGGGAAAATAGTCCTTTACTTACTTACTTTATGTTAGCAACACTTGACTATCCTGTGTAGATTATACGCACCATTTATCTGCTGCCCAGAACGGTGGGATGTTAGTGTTGCTAGACAGGAAGTAACATTAAACAACGTAAACACTCGAAAGCCTTGGTTATTAATTTAAGATTCAGATCTTTCGCCTCCAAATGAGGACGTCGCACTTCTGAAGGATCAGGGGTGCTAGATGAATAACAAGTTAGACACCATTTAGAATGTCTCATTTTTAGCCATGTCTATCATACACTTGATCCTTTAACTGCGGAATCTAAGAGTGGTATCGATAACTTTCAGTCTGTACGCTCTTTGTGCTGGTTCCATGGACTCACTTGCTAGGTATAAGTTATTTATGAATTATTTTTTTTTTCAATTTTTCTTGTCTGAGAGACTGGGAACCGACAGTCAGCACACTGCCAGAAGCACTGCTCGAAGTCATTCATATGGTTACGGTAATGTCTGAGCTTTCACTAAGATGGTGAACACTTTTATCCATGAGTTACAAGGAAGAAATATTTCTCAACATATTTAGTTTCAGCAAGATAAGGTGTGTTTCGACCCCCAGAGAGTCAGTGGCTGTTCTTTGCCTCCTGTTTCCCAAACATCTGATTTCGAAGTTTGGTGAGGTTTTATAGCTCCCCTTATGGTCCCCTGATGTGCGCACGTGTAATTTCTTTCTATATCGATGCCTCCAGTTACGTGTCTGCGAGACCATGTCTTTTACCTTAGAGGAATTGAAAAAGCTTCCATCAACAAATCATTCAAATCAGCAGAAACCTGCTCGAAAGAATTTAGGCCAATTTTCATGAACGTTTTCAACAGTGCATCAACATAAAACGAACATGGTTTGCCAGATTTAAGTTTTCATCTTCTGCCAAGAACATCACATTAGTATCCATCCCTAGCATATCTTTTGTATCAACTCGTTTTTGTCAAATTCTGAAAACAATTATATTCAGTAATCTGCTGCCTAGAGCATCATGTATCGAATAGCAATTGCCTAACAAGCCAGTGTATCATAATGGCGGCGACTTTGAATATCCGCTCTTCCATATTCATCTCCATCAAACAATGAAAGTGACTGCGCTTGGCTGGCTTTCGTCAGAGTTATTACCGGAACGCCATTCTGTGAACGTCTTGACCAGCTCACTTGTCTGATTCTATTCCTTGCACTTTGACAGCAAGGACAGCAAAGCATCTTGATAAACTCGGTGCGAAAGTTATCATTTAACCAACCATATAAAACAGGATTCAAACAAGCTGAACAGAGCATCAGTAAATGACATATAGCATAGGCTAACTTAACATCCATTCGGCCTCTAAAATAATCGCCCTTAAAATCAATCAACAAATTCATAACATTGAGAGGCATCCAGCTGAGTGCAAATACAATAGCAATGCCTCCAAGAAGCAGGTTGGTCTTTCTTTTACGAGTGTTTCTGCGTTCATGTTTCCTTTGTAATGATGTGCTGGTAACAGAGGCAGACTTTGCAGGCACCATGCGATACCGAAGCTTATTACAGATCCTTAAATGGGCCACGCTAAGAATGAAGAATGGCAGTAGATACTGTACAACCATCTGAGCGACACTGTAAGCTTGTTTTTCAATTACCAGGGTGATATCCTCCATACACACATACACGAAAAATGTGGGCTCTTCCTCAAGCCAGACACGACGATGCAGAACTGAGAAGAGCAAGGCAGGGCTGGCCATAAGGAAGGAGATTAACCAGATAGAGGACAGGGCAATGGCAGCTCCAATTTTCTTCATGCTGTCTTTATTTGGGTAAACAATGACCTGTATCCAAAGAAAAAAAAGAAATAAAACAAAACATCAGTTTAACAAGAATTAAGTCTGAGAATTCATTCTTGAAATGTTTAAAAAGCGAACACTAACGAATGGTAATGATAACTAATGGGCCTTTTCACTAGCCTAGAAACCAACTGGGTGTATTATGTCAATAACATACTTTATACAACAATCAGCATGTGTCCATTATGTGGTCAGGGCATGACGACACAAGGAAAACTCGGAGGGGGAGAGGGAGTCGGGGAGGGAGCTCAACCCCTACCTCCACGACTCCCATTATAAATTGTCTGCGCGGCTGTGGGCTCTTGGGACCCAAGCCTTGTTTACAGCACTGTTGTTGTTGTTGTTGTTGTTGTTGTTCTTCTTCTTCTTCTTCTTCTTCTTCTTCTTCTTCTTCTTCTTCTTCTTCTTCTTCTTCTTCTTCTTCTTCTTCTTCTTCTTCTTGCTGCATCTGCTGCTGATTTGTTGTTGTTACGATGGGTTGAATTGAATATACATACAATATTTTTTATAGGACAATATGCAAACAAATACTTGATAAGAAAGTTTCTATTCACGATTAGGAAAAGCGGTGAGGGGAAAAAGTGTGTGTGTGTTGGGGGGGGGGGGTAAAGGTATGGGGACACTTAACAGTTCTGCAAATATTCTGGGGACGAGGGGGGGGGGGGGGGGGGAAGTGGACTCAACCAACTGCTTAAAATATTTTTGAGGGGTCAAGGTGTGTGAACACCCTGGTTCCGATACCCTACTTGTGGTCAACATCAGTCGACTTTACTTCCCATAATTTGTATGGTGCCAAAGTCTCTAGCGATTGTTGTCTTCGTAATCCAGTCTACTGCCGGTGAAAATAGGATAGGCGACAAACATGCAATAATAGAAAGGCATAGAAAGGCAGCATCACCAGGAGAACTAGGGTATGGAGACACTGATTTGAAGATACGTGTCACTTTGCTTGTCCAAGACACAGCGGTGGGAAAACAATGAGTACTATTTACAAACGATCTTCTATCTGGTGATGGTACATGATGATCATGGTGGTGGTGTTGGTGGTGGCTGTGACGATGATGTTTGCATTACTTTCCTATAAAACTACCTATTTGCATGTCTTACAACATCCATTCTTCCTCTCACTGACAGAGTTACCTGAAAGCGATCGAGCGCTATGGCGGTTATACTGATCGTTGAGACGAACAAATTGGTGCCTTGAGCCATAGTGATAAACTTGCACAGAAATTCTCCAAGACTCCAGTGTTTAAACAACAACAAATAGAGATTCAGCGGCTGGGTGAACACGCACAAGGATAGGTCTGAGATAGCCAAGTTGATTATGAAGATATTCCTTGGCGTTCGCATACTTGGGTTTTTGATTACCTTTGAAATTGATACAGTATGGAATATGTTAGTCACATTCAAAAAGATGTATTTGAAAAAAGGCAACTAACTCATACTTTACGAGAAAGGAGAAGCTCTTATCATAAAATGGACCCCTATGCTAAGTTATTATATGTAGTCTTGTATGTAATCATATCACTGTCTGTGTCTTTTTCCCCCTGTACGCTGAAGCAGGATTTTGAACGGTGATGATAATTTTTCGTTCCTGATAGTATTATACTGGCAGGTCGACTAAATCGAATTGTTTGATTTGATTTTGTTTTCCATGTTATTGTAATAATAGATTCGTCTGATTGTTTTATGATACTTTCTTCTTCTACACATAACCTTAAAGGAGAGGTTGGCACCTTGTGTTGTGGTTCACAGCTAGGTTGTGATATAAGAACCTTTCGGTCTAAAGCCTCCTACTTTAGTAAATGCGCAATAAGTCGCCCTTTTACATACAACGTACTTATTCGGAAGCTTTGGGTCTGTTTCTGTGAGTGAATGACTGACGTTCAACTCAACCAGGACCGCACAAAACGCGACGTACACCGGTGACACAAGGTGCCACTATTCGGATAAGAATCCCCCATACACAAGTCCCAAAAACCCGGTTCAACCATTGGGTTATATTTAGGACTCCCGATGTGAGCTGGGTTGGGGCTTTGAAATAACAAAAATGTGCATTTCATAATGGGACCGAGCTGCAACTGTTTCAGTAGTAGTTTTACGTTTTACCCGACTAGGACATCACACAAGCGATAAACACCCGATGACACAAAGTGCCACCATGTGGATGAGGATCACCCGTGGAGAGGTCCCAGAAACCGCGTTCAGCAATTAGAAAAAGCAAGAGTGGGGCTTCGAAATAACAAAAAACTGCACCCACAAGGGGATGGTTGGTTAGGCACGCGCCTCTAACTGTTTCAGTTCGTTTTCTTATTCCCAACAAAATGAGATTTCGAAACCCACGCAGAGAACGTAAAGTTAGAATAATGAGAGGCATAAAATAGTTTATTAATTTGGATTTCTTATTTACAACCGTGATACTTCTAGCAACCTATAGTACCATGCTTCAGTATTTTACAAAGAAGAAAAATGGTACCTGTACACAATGCTTTAAACATGAACGTTGTTGTAAGGTGTTTAGGAACTCTATCCTTCACTAGAGAACTACAGGTATACGCAAATTATTAAAATATTGTCAAACTTAAACTTTAAAGAAAAGTATAGAATTTTTTTTTTTTTTTAATTCCTGAAGCTAAAGTTGTCGAATCAATGTCCGCCTGTGCTACTGCCAACTGCCTAAGTCCATTAGTCACTCTGGTCGTGCAAGAAGGCGCTTAATTTTCAACCACGGCGACAATACCTCAGTACCCTTTGCAAATTACCATAACGTCTATGCCGATTGCCTAATAAGCGCAGCAGGGGAAGCCCGAGGCCTGGGAGTCAGGACTCAGCCCCCTCCCCCTCTCTCCCCCAACGCCCCTATCCTCCTCCAGATTGTCTAGTGGTTAGAAGGGCTAAAACAATTGTTGAAAAATAGAACACCTACTGAGGATCGATAGGTTCCTTCTGTGCATGCTCCCGCTGCGGCATTCGTTCTATTATATACAGACATATACTGGCGACAAGAAAACATCGTAACCGAGGGAACGACATAACAGAGGCAAGAGTAACCGAGGGAAAGACATAACTGAGTCAAGAGTAACCGAGGGAACGACCTAACAAAGAGGCAAGAGGAGTTTGGTATCCTAGCGTAAAGGATTATTTGTGTCAGTAAAGGGCCCTTTTCCACATCTTCAGGCATACTAGGCATACAACACGAGACCTTTATTTTACAGACCAATGGGCACTTGGGGGAGGGGTGGGGTGATTTGGTCAGCATCACGCCGACCGCCGTACCCAAACCATTGAGATGGGTTGACCTGGTCATTTCTGGAGAGAGGAAAAAGTCCGGGTCTTTCAGGAGCTGAGCTCACGACCTTCCAATCAACAGGCTGCCCCACGGTGGCTCCACATTTGTGACAGAAATAAGTGAAATTACACGACACTAAAGGCAGTGGAAAGGGCTTAACTACCAATACCTTACGGCATGGACTATAAGGAGAAGCACAGTTTTGTGCTGTGAACTTGACAATTGTCGTCTGCTGGTCGTATGGTCATTTCTTCTAATCCCACTAGGGGTGGAGTATTTCGTGTACACGCCCTGGACTCATAGATCAACCTAGTATAAAATGAACACTCGGGTTTGTGATGGAAAGTTCCATACTGACCACATCACCTATCTAGTGCCATTTGTCTTTTTTTTTTTAACCGCACTATGTCTTATAACTCCTCATGAAATGAAAGTCGATATGTAACTTAATTTATTTTAATCAAACTATTTTTTTTTAAATGCCTTTTGTCTGGGGCTCTGAAGATTAAAAATCTAAATTGTGACTCCCTTGTTTGATTTGATTTTTTTTTAACGTTATTGTCATAATAGGATGCTCTGACTGTTTCATAATATTTTCTTCTACGCTTGTCATTAAAGGTGGGATTGCGTCTCAGCCTTTTGTCTAAGATCACAGTGTAGTTCATCTGCGCTGGTCTGGCCAGGAGGACCGGTATGGTCACAACCAAGTCACGGGTGAAAACCAAACGGCATGAGCAATCTCTAAAATATAAAAAAAAAACTTATGCCTGGTGGTTTCCCTGTTCAGCCTGGATTACCGATGTAATAACCTCCGGGGTGTCGGGCATTTTGGGACACCAACCCGGCAAAATAAAAAAATGTGAGGTTGGCACTTTGTATTGTGGGTCACAGCTAGGCTGCGAATATGCACATTTCGGCCTAGCACATCCTAATTTAGTAATTCCGCAATAAGTTCGCTTTGTACAACAACAATATTCAGGCCGAGTGCGCCATTTCGAAAATTGATTGAGGTCGCCACTGTAACTGCAGATTACGTGTCTTGTGCCAGATTCGCATTAGGAACCCAGTTCTACGTTTGGTAAAATCGAGCCATTAGAAATAAACACCAGTAAAACTAAATGAATTCTTTCACCGGGAAACACTTTAAAGACAGACAATATGTAACAATAGGAATACTTAAAACTATTACTTACCACGTAAATAACAAGTCCATTACCGAGGGTTCCAAACGTGATGAGGCTAGAGTAGCAGAGTACGAGAACTATCTCAGTGACAGCATCGAACTGGCGCTTGGACACTTCTTTCTGCAGAATCAGTGTCAGCCATTCTCTTATCGCCGTCTGGTTGCTGATGGCTTCTTCTGTCTCGTTAAATGAGTAGTTCTCGATAGTACGGGATGACATGTTTCAATAAAGTTTCTTTGAGAAACAGCTCCTAGTTTCTCAGTATTATTTACCTGGAAATGTTACCGTTGGCATATGTGGCTTAGGAGTTGTAAACGCACTTTTATAATCCCGATATGCATGTTTTCAGGGTAAGCTGCAATTCGTTTAGTAGCAGACCACTAGCGTTTATCTATACAACTGTTTGAGCGCCGAAACTGTTCAGGAAGTCATGCAAACTACCAAACGTAAAAATGAAAATGCCTGGTAAAACAACATGTAGCCGAAAAATACTAGCTTTGGCTGTGACGATCTGTAAAGGATATGTGACTAATTTGTATCTACCCACTTAGCAGGTGGCATGGTTCTAAAGACAACCAAATGTACGAAAGGAAACAATTACTGACTATGATGTTTATTTATTTATTTATTTATTTATTTATTTATTTATTCATTTATTTATTTAACAGCAACAAAACAGGAACATAAATTATTCATTCATTAGTGATTTAACGTTTTTTTGGTTTCATTTCCGTACTAATATGATTTATCCTTATAATATTACAGTATCATTTTCAGATCAGAAATTAGTCAATGTTGTTTTGGTGTTTGTTGTATGCTTTTTTAACATAATTAGTAATTTCTATTAGTGGATCAAATGAAAGGCATATGAGAACTACTGTGCCATTAGCCACATTAGCAAACATCAAAACTAGCCATCAGAAGAGAATTGCAGTTAAATCATTTGCAATCAAGGACATATGCCCTTGTTATATCAGTCAAAAGCATTCATTATTGGCAGGGGTCGATGTGTGGTTCCTGAATTCTGAACTCGACAGTTATTCTAGATTTAATCAAGCCTTGAGTATCACTGTGGGGTTTCAAGTGTCATTTCGTTGGTGAATTATAACTTGATGTAAAGTGCATTGCTGAGTAGAAAAGACGTTCTATTCAGCAGGAATTCTGTAGAGAAAAAGAAAAAAAGTAAATGCAGAAATGAGTTTGGGTATTACAAGTGATATTTACTCCATGTGCATTTCCTGTTATTCGTTTTAATAAAAAAAATTTTTATTTAGGTTAATGGGTATTAGCATTAATGGTAAGTGCTGGTGATAAACTGGATACATGATTAGGATTTAGGCGTGAAAAAGAGAAGGCGGAACAAGGAGAAATTTGTAAAGGTTGATGCTGTGTTGAATGTTGAATGTTGAATTAAGAAACGACATAGCACTCGAGACACCCCCATAAGCGCACTATCCCCATCTTTAGCAGCAAAAGAAGACCTCCAATGTCGATGACACCAGTAACTGTTTGATGCTGTGTTCATTATTGAAATAAAACCTGCAAAAGTAATTTTTAAAAAAAAAACACATTAAAGGTAACACATTTTACAATTAATTTCATAATCAAATCAACAACAGTGACAACGAAATGAATTGTGAATTGTAGATTCAGAAAATGGCGCGTGGCTTGTCATCGCAATATAGGTGGTGCCCTTATGTGATTAAAATTGATCGCGTGTGCAACTGCTGATTTGTTGGCTACCTCTGCTACCGTCGATGATGAACTGCATTTCTAATGTGCGACTGTTTGTGTTAGCACTTCTGATGGCTACCGTATGCTTTTAGTGCGTGTGTACGCTAGTGCAGATGCTGAGACAGCAGTCTGTCAATTTTTCCACAAGGGAATGTGATAAACATTCTGTGTGCTTTTCGTTGGCACAGGAGCGGAGCAACTATGGGGTGACCCGTTTGCTATGAAACTAAAACTAACATTAACATTAACGAAATGAAAATGTGTTATAATTAAATGCAGACACTCACGTAACTGATTGTAAAAGGTAACCAGTTAGCTCATTGCCGCCTTGCCTAGACATTGGAATTACTAATGTCCATTTTACGACCCCTTTTCCATCAGCGAAACTGTGTGTAATCTGATAGAACACCCCACGATAACTTGTTTAAACTTTGTTGTCTGATAGAACACCCCACGATAACTTGTTCTTAAAACCATCGACTTATTGTCAGGCTCTTTGTCTATTCGTGAACTTTCTGGGTTCTGAGGTTCATTAAAGGGGAGGGGGGGGGGGGGGGGGGATGAAGGTTAACAGCTCCTTAAAAACTGTCGTTAAAGGCGACTAATGAAGGATGTGTTGGTTGTGTTGGGCCGAAAAGCGCAGATGTCACAGCCAAGCTGTAAGCGACAACACAATGTGCTAACCGAACCTGCAAGGGCAAAAGTAAAAGAAGAAGATCCAGCAAATGCTGATTCACTTCATATCTTACTTTACTTATTGCCATCATGTGTAGCACATTCTATGTCCTCCCTCCCTTTTCATATTCCCATCAGTCTCTAATTCTCGCTTTCCTGTGTGCGAGTTTGTGTGGTGAGTGTTTGTAACTTTGTGTATGTTCATCTATGAATTTATGTGTGAGTGCTTATGTATGTTTGTGTGAGTATATGTGTATGTTTTTGTGCATTTGTGCCTGTATTTGTGTGTGTGTGTGTGTGTTGTACATTTGTCTGTGAGTGCTTATGTGTTGTGTGTGTGTGTGCATATGTGTGCATGTTTGTTACCTTGCGTTGTCTGGTGTTTGTGTGTGTATGTGTGTGTGTCTGTCTTTTTACACTCAATGGAGTACAGGTCTTAAACCATCCCTGTATTGAAATATGAATGCTTGTGTGCGTGTTTGTGTGAGTGTGTGTGTATGTATTTGTGTTTGTTATCTGTGCGTATGTGTATGTTTGTGTTTGCGTGCGTGTGTGTATGTTTCTGTGTGAGTGCTTATTATGTGTGTATTTATGTCTGTAACCCAGAATCAATCCGAAAAACCGGTCTGGGACCAGACATGGCCCTGCACTCTACGGAAAAACGCCAGCTCCTCCTGATAGAGCTGACCGTGCCGCACAAGTCACAGATGGAATAAAATCACATGTACAAGCTCGAAAAGTAGGTGATCTGATGGCCGGTCTGAGAAAAGATGAGGCGTACACGGTAAAAATCTTTGCCGTCGAGGTCGGCGCAAGAGGATTTATCTCTACTTCCACATACAATATACTCAAGCACTTGGGCTTGCAAGGAAAAGAGCTCAGAAAAAACTGGACGAAGCTGCGAAAAGAGCTTCGAACTGGCTTTAAACACAAGGGAACGTCGTAGGGGATGGGCCTCGGTAGAAAGGTCCGAGTCCCTAGTGGAAAAGAGTTTTACATCCCTAAAAGCCAAAGTTCCCGACAAATGAATGCCAGTGTCTCTCTGCCAGCGTCTAAAGTCTGTCCGATAAAACAACCGCAAGCTTGTCACTCCGGTCGTGAGGGTACTCGGTTAATTTGCTACCGCAGCGACAATATATAACACCAAATCTCACGATACCTGTTGCAAAGTCACCATTTCGTCTTGTCCCTGTCCGAACGTCCGATAAAGTACAGCAGGTGATGTCTGAGGCCTGGTGTCATGAATCAGGTCGGCCCCACCATCCGAGATTGTCTAGAGCTAGAGAGATAAGTGGCCGAAACAATAGTCGACGGGGAACTTTTCTATTGATGATCGTTGGATCCTGTTGTGCATACTCCCATGTTGAGTTCTTCTTATTATTATTGTGTATGCCTCTGTGTTTATGCGTGTTTTGAGTGCGTTTTGTGTGTGTATGTTTTTATTTATGTATGTTTTCATTTGTGTGTATTTGTCTGACATGTTTATTTGTTTATATTTGGCTGACTTTTACGCAAATTTTTTTTTTTTCTGAACAGGTTGAGGTATTCTACCCCCACAGTTCTATGGTCATCCCTACCCCTTGTCGCTTCTTACGACATGCTTCTCCTAAATGCCTGGTAATACACTTGCCTTGATTTTACAACTAGTATTAATGCTATTATATGAAATTAAACATATGGGTGCGAAAAATGAAAGATCCCGATTTTTTTTATAGTACGATATTTTCTATGTTAGCTCGAAACAATACAGTAAGATCGAAAAGATAATACTAATGAATATCGTTAAAATAATAAATCTAGAACACCAAGAGCAGAGGTCTATTGAATGACATGAATGCACACTAAAAGATGCCTTCTTCTTCTTCTTCTTTTTCTTCTTCTTCTTCTTCTTCTTTTTCTTCTTCTTCTTCTTCTTCTTCTTCTTCTTCTTCTTCTTCTTCTGCTGCTGCTGCTGCTGCTGCTGCTGCTGCTGCTGCTGCTGCTGCTTCTGTGTTTATCCAAAGATGTAACTGTGTTGTACACGTCTACAGCATGGCTAGGATATTTGCGTCTTTCGGTCGACACATCCGACTCGGAGAAAGGGACATGATCATTGTGACTTCTTCTTCTTCTCCTTCTTCTTCCTATTTTTTTTCTTCTTTTGCTTCTTCTTCTTCTTCTATTTCCACCTTTTTCTTCTTCTTCTTCTTCTTCTTCTTCTTCTTCTTCTTCTTCTTCTTCTTCTTCTTCTTCTTCTTCTTCTTCTTCTTCTTTTCTTCTTCTTCTTCTTCTTCTTCTTCTTCTTCTTCTTCTTCTTCTTCTTCTTCTTCTTCTTCTTCTTCTTCTTCTTCGCTCTTTCTTTCTTTCTTTCCTTCTTTTGCCCTTAAAAAGGCGTTGGCATATTGCAATGTTTTTAACAACTAGGCTATGATTTCTGCACATTTCCACCGAATACATCCGATTTTAGCGAACCCTTAAACTGCCGCTCTCTTTGACATATATGTTAATACGCAACTGGGTATAATCGTGTTCCTCTTCAATATAACTTCCTTGAAACCACTCGTGGAGGATGATATCGGAAAGGAATATTTTCACCGAAATGTACACAGAATACAAAAGACCATGATCTGTAGTCACATTAAGAAATGCGGTATATGGCAAGGTAAGTGATGATGGTGAACTGTCACAACGTTATTAAAAATTATGTAGCCGTTAAAGGCGAACATAGCTACTGTCAGTGGTAAATCTGAATTCTTGATACATCCACAGAGTGTTTGTAAAGAGGATTCTGACGTCCATTTCCAACCGAATTCCTTGTGGAGTTGTATGCT